CGAAAAATAATAATAATAAAAATCGAATCTACCATTTTTTTGTTTTTTGTTTTTTTTAGATGTACATGAAGCTGAAAAAGCAATCGTCTTATTACGGAATTCAGTAGAATTCGGCTAACCATACATATCGGTACGAGGGCGACATCAGAGAAACCAACGAACAAGTACGTGATCTTAGAAGATTAGCAAAAAAATTCCAACAATAATAATGTAGTATTTGGGAATCTACGTGTCAAAAAGCTCAATAAAAAATAGGACTAGGATAGATAAATAGGGGCTCAATTCGGAAGAGGAGGGAGAAATGCAAGCAAGCTTTAGGCGATATGCACCATCAACACAAGGACGGGATAATATATACTACATTTCATTCAACCATCATTTCATCTAATAAGCTAATTTTAACCACCCCCTGAAGTAATTGCAGCAAAAACCAAGTGGAAGTCGCACCCCTTGAAGTGGTATACTGCGAGTGCGAAGGAGGAAGAACCGAGGACACGCGCAGCGGAAGATGGAGCGACAGGTAGGCGCAGCGGCGGCGGGTGCAGCGGTGGCATATGCAGAGGCGGCAAGTGAAGCGGCGGCAGGGGCGGCGGCGACAGGTGCGGCGGGGGCAGGTGCGGCCACGGCAGGTGTGACAGTGGCAGGTGCAAGGGCGAGAGGAGGAGGAGGAGAGACGTGCCAAGAAGAGGAGATGGGCCGCTAAGGAAGGGCATCCGAATCCCTTAACCCGCCTCGCTCGCCACCCCATTGCCTCCCCCCCACAGCGGCAGACGCAACAGGGGGGCAGATTGGGCGGCAGTTGGCGCTGCAGACTCACGGCTGCCACCTCAACATCCTCCCCCTCAAAGCGGCAGCCGCAGCAAGGAGCATGATGGGCACGGCAGCTGCAGCGGACGTGCGAAAGATGCGGCAGCAGCAATAGCCTGTTATTATCCATTATGGCCGCCAACCCCGCCGCCTCCCCTTACATCAACAGCTGCTGTCAAACTATCATGTTGTGTAGGCTGTAGTGGGGTAGCCCATATGGGGTACAACCCAATTAGGGTTTGCTACTTGTACTCCTGCATGCTGTTAGTTCACCATTCTCGCTTACTGATTCTGACATGGTTTCAGAGCAGGTCCTGACCTAGGACCGTCTTTTTTTTTTTAGAGCCCACCGAATCGTTCCCTGCCCGTAGCGCGTTACTCTGCCCGTAGCGCCCTACCGTGTTCCTCGCGCTGCCCCACCAGTCGCGTTACCCTGCCCGCGCGCCGCCCTGCTGGCTGCCGCGCTGCCTTGCCCTGCCCTGCGTTGCGCCGCCCCGCGCACGCCCTGCCCTGCGTCGCGCTGCCCGCGCACGCCCTGCCCTGCCCCGTGTCGCGCCGCTCTGTGCACACCCTGCCCTGCGTCGCGCTGCCCGCGCACTCCCTGCCCTGCCCCGCGTCGCGCCGCCCTGCGCACGCCCTGCCCGTCGTATCGCGCGCCCCTGCTGCCCGTTGCGTCGCGCGCCCCTGCTGCCCGTCGCGCCGTGCGCCCCTGCTGCCCGTCGCGTCGCGCGCCCCTGCTACCCGTCGCGCCATGCGCCCCTGCTGCCAGTCGCGTCGCGCCGCCCGTGTGCCCCTGCTGCCCGTTGCGTCGCTCGTGCGGGCTGCCCCAGCCCGTCGCGTCGCCCGTCCGACCTGCCTCTGCCCGTCGCGTCGCTCGTGCAGGCTGCCCCAGCCCGTCGCGTCGCCCGTCCGCCCTGCCTCTGCCCGTCGCGTCGCCCGTGCGGGCTGCCCCAGTCCGCCGCGTCGCCCGTCCGCCCCGCCCCTGCCTGCCCGCGCGCCGCCCTCTGCAGCCCGCGCGCCGCCCTGCTGCCCGCGCTCCGCCCTGCCCCTGCCCATCGCGTTCGCCTTGGCAGCCTGCGCGCCGCCCTCTGCAGCCCGCGCGCTGCCCTTGCCTGCCCGCGCGCCCTCCTCTGCCCGCGCGCCGCCCTACTTGCAGCGCGCCGCCCTGCTCTGGCCGCGCACCGCCCTTCCCTGACCGTGCGCCACCCCGACCTACCCTAGTGCCTGCTCGCCGCCCTGCCTTCCCTGCGTACTGCCGTGCTGGTCGCACACCTCCTTGTTTTGCCCGCTATGACGTCTTTTCGTGGTAGCGGTGGGAGTGGTGGCGGCGGTGGTGGCAAAAGTGGGAGTGGTGGCAACAGTGGGAGTGGTGGCGGCGGCCGTGGTGGCAGTCTCGGTGGAGCTGTTCGGTGGGGAGTTTCTGGCGGTGGCCAGATGCAGCTCCAGCGGCGTCCGCGCGAGACCCTCACGCCCCAGCAGCTTCGTGAGTGGTACGCTAGTTGGAGTAGTGGCGGCGGCCCTACTGGCAGTCGCCGTGGAGCTGTTCAGTGGAGAGGTTCTGGCGGTGGCCAGATGCAGGTGCAGCGGTGTCCGCGCGAGACCCTTATGCCCCAGCAGCTTCGTGAGTGGTACGCTCAGCGTGGGGCGTCTCGGAGTACTGCTCGGTGCCCGTACGTCATTCGCACAGGTGATCGGGTTGGTCAGACTTGCGGGATAGTTGGTCACACACAGTCCCACTGCTTCTCCTGTCTGAGCGACGCCTGGCGTGCAGATTTTGGCGACGGGGCTGAGCTCCCCCGCTGGCTGGAGCTGCTTAGGCAGAGGGTGGATATCTTTGCTCTTGACTATGATTCTATCCTCACTGCCATGTATGCATTGACTGTTAGTGATGAGGGTGACTGTTACCTGTGTGTGCCGCCCGACCCAGGTATAGAGGCTGCTGCTCTAGGTGCTAGTGAGTCTGCTGCTCTAGGTGCTAGTGAGTCTGCTCTCTCTGGTACTGCGCCTGCTGCGGCCTTGCACACCTTCACGCTTGACTCAGGTGCTTCCCGCTGTTTCTTTCGCGACAGTACCACAGTCACACCACTCCCTACACCTGTTGCTGTCTCTCTGGCTGACCCCTCTGGGGGCCCAGTTCTTGCACGTTCCTCCACTGTTCTCCCGTGTCCGGCGGTTCCGTCTGGCTCACTGTCAGGTCTTCACCTCCCCTCGTTCTCTACGAACTTGGTGAGCAACGCCATCCTTCAGGATGAATGGGTTGATACCTTCACCCCTGGAGGACAGCGTGTGGTGATCTGTACGTGCTCCCGGGCTGGCCGTCACCTGGCCACGTTCACCCGTCGGCCTGGGTCGAGTCTGTACACACTGACTACTGAGCCTCCCCAGGACGCTGCGTCTGTGTCTGCGTCAGGTCAGATAGCGCCCCCCTGCTTTTGTCGCGCCCTGTCGCACCAGACGCTCCTTTGGCACCACCGCCTTGGTCACCCCTCCGTGCCACACCTCCGTGGCATGCACTCCTGTCTCGTTGTCTCTGGTCTTCCCAGGTCTCTGCCTCCCCTCCCACCCTCGCTTGCCCCTCCCTGCCTTCCCTGTGTCAAGGGGCGGCAGTGCGCCGCTCCTCACTCCTCCTCGTTTCCCCCGACGACTGCTCCCCTGCAGACTCTCCACATGGACGTGTGGGGCCCAGCCCGCGTCTGTGGACAGGGCCGCGAGCGCTACTTTCTGCTGGTTGTAGATGACTACTCGCGTTACACCACGGTCTTCCCCTTGCGCAGCAAGGGGGAGGTCCCTGATGTTTTGATCCCTTGGATCCGCGCTGTCCGTCTCCAGCTACGCGAGCGGTTCCACGCGGACCTTCCAGTCCTGCGTCTGCACTCTGACAGAGGTGGTGAGTTTTCCTCCGACCTCTTGCGGGACTTTTGTCGTGGGGAGGGCATTCTCCAGTCGTTCACGCTTCCGGCCTCTCCGCAGCAGAATGGGGTTGCTGAGCGCTGCATTGGCTTAGTCATGGAGGTCGCTCGTACCTCCATGATCCATGCGGCTGTCCCCCACTTTCTGTGGCCGTTTGCGGTCCGGTACGCTGCGCATTAGCTCAACCTCTGGCCCCGTGTCTCCTTGCCTGAGACCTCGCCTACACTGTGTTGGACGGGGAAGGTTGGCGATGCGTCGGTGTTCCGGGTCTGGGGCTCTCGTGCCCTTGTCCGCGATACGTCCGCGGACAAGCTCTCCTCCCGCGCCATTCCCTGCGTCTTCCTTGGCTTTCCCCCTGACGCGCCTGGCTGGCAGTTTTACCACCCCACCTCGCGCCGTGTCCTGCCCTCTCAGGACGTCACGTTTGACGAGTCGGTTCCCTTTTACCGTCTCTTCCCCTACAGCACTGCCCCTCTCCCCCCCCCCGCCGCTCTTCCTTGCACCAGGTCCTTCTCCGGTAGACCCCCTCCCCCCTCAGGGTCCTGCTCCCTCAGGTGTGTCTTAGGTAGACCCTGTCGAGCATGTCGAGGTTGCTGTCGACTCTGGTGCTGCTGGGGGTGGTGCTGCTAGGGGTGCTGCGCCTGGGGTTGCTGAGTCTGAGGGTGCGGAGCCTGGGGGTGCTGAGCCTGAGCGTGCGGAGCCTGGGGGTGCTGAGCTTGGGGGTGCTGAGCCTGAGCGTACTGAGCCTGGGGGTGCTGAGCTTGGGGGTGCTGAGCCTGAGCGTGCTGCCCCTAGAGGTACTTTGTCTACTGGAGGTTCTCCGGGTGCCTCGTCACGGCGGGAGACTCTCTCTCCACCGCAGCTGCGCGAGTGGTTTGCTCGGCGCTGGAGCCTTCGGAGTGACGCTGCTAGAGCTGGGGGGGCTGCCGCTGGAGACCCTGGAGCTGGAGGCACTGGAGCTGGAGGTACTGGAGGTGCTGGAGCTGCTGGTCCTGGAGGTGCTGGAGGTACTGGAGGTTCTCCGGGTGCCTCGTCCCGGCGGGAGCCTCTCTCTCCACCTCAGCAGCGCGAGTGGTTTGCTCGGCGCTGGAGTCTTCAGAGTGGCGCTGCTGGAGCTGGGGGGCCTGCCGCTGGAGGCCCTGGAGCTGGAGGCCCTGGAGCTGCTGGTCCTGGAGGTGCTGGAGGTGCTGGAGCCGCTGGTCCCGGAGGTGCTCGTACTGGAGGTACTGGAGCTGCTGGAGCTGGTGGTGTTGCACGTACTGGAGCTGCTGGAGCTGGAGCTGATGGAGGCGCTGGAGCTGGAGCTGCTGGAGGTGCTGGAGCCGCTGGTCCCGGAGGTGCTCGTACTGGAGGTACTGGAGCTGATGGAGCTGGAGGTGCTGCAGGCGTTGGAGCTGGAGGCACTGGAGCTGTTGGAGCTGGAGGCGCTGGAGCTGGAGGCGCTGGAGCTGGAGCTGCTGGAGGTGCTGGAGCCGCTGGTCCCGGAGGTGCTCGTACTGAAGGTACTGGAGCTGCTGGAGCTGGCGGTGCTGCAGGCGTTGGAGCTGGAGGCGCTGGAGCTGGATCTACTGGAGCTGGAGGTGCTGCAGGCGTTGGAGCTGGAGGCGCTAGAGCTGGAGACCCTGGAGCTGGAGGTGCTGGCCCTGGTGGTGCTGGTGCTGTCGGTGCTGGTTCTGGAGGCACTGTGCGGCCGCGACCGTACTTCGTTCCACTGATTCAGCAGGTTCTTGGTCTCCCGCCTTCTACTGGCCTTACTCCTCCCTTACTGTGTCCACCACCTGACCAGTCGCAGACATAGTTACAGCCAGCCTCCCCACTGCCTGCTCCTTCTCCTTACACTGAGCAGGCAGGAGGTTTAGGAGAGCGTCGTGAGACTGCGTCTCGTCCTGCGTCGCCTGTTCGCGCTGTTCGCACTGGTCGTCGTGTTCCGCGTCAGCGTCCTCCTCCTGTCCCTGGCACGCACCAGATGGCACTTCGTCCTTCCTCTGGTCCACAGTGTGTCCCTCTGCCGTCTCCTCCTGCGTCCTCTCTTCCTGACGTTCCTGACCCGCCGTCAGACCTTGCTCGTGCTGCAGTCCTAGTGTCACGCGTCTTCTAGCCACTGTTGTCACTGACCCTTCGTTTGAGTCCACTGCTGCGTCTGCTCTAGTTGCTGAGCTTGTTGACTTTGCTGCTGCATGTCGCCTCGACTACGCCGCTAGTCTTGCTGCTGAGTCTGAGTCTGTCTGTCCTCCGTCCGTCGGGGGTGAGTGTGCTCTTGGCACGGACGTCCTTGAGGACAGGCAGGAGGACTTTGAGTGTTTTGCAGCTGCTGTACCTCATCTCGTGTTCATGCTGATTGCACCTGAGGGAGACCCGGATGCACCAGACATCCCGACCCCGCGCTCTTACCTAGAGGCGATTTCGGGTCCCTACTCCTCTCAGTGGCAGACAGCCATGGACGCAGAGATTGCATCCTGGAAGTCCACAGGCACTTACGTCAACGAGGTTCCCCCTCCTGGGGCGAACATAGTCGATGGCATGTGGATTTTCAGGGTGAAGCGGCCGCCGGGTTCTCCGCCTGTCTTCAAGGCGCGTTACGTTGCACGAGGCTTCAGTCAGCAACAGGGAGTTGACTTCTTCCAGACCTTCTCCCCTACCCCGAAGACGACCACTCTTCGGGTGCTGCTGCACGTCGCCGCTCAGCGTGACTACGAGCTTCACTCTCTTGACTTCAGCACAGCTTTCTTACAGGGCAGCCTGCATGAGGAGATCTGGCTGCGCCGCCCACCTGGCTTCACTGGGTCGTTTCCTGCAGGTACCCAGTGGAGCCTCCGACGGCCAGTCTACGGTCTCCGCCAGGCGCCTCACGAGTGGCACGACACACTGAGGACGACGCTTGCGGCTCTTGGGTTTGTTCCTTCTACTGCTGACCCGTCGCTGTTTCTACGCACCGACACTTCGCTAACGCCGTTCTACATCCTCGTGTTTCTACTTTACTGCTGATACTGAGGGACTGGCCCTAGTGAAGTCGGAGCTGCAGAAGAGACACACGTGCACAGACCTGGGTGAGCTGCGCAGCTATCTCGGCTTGTAGATCACTCGGGACAGAGCACGGCGCACCATTACCTTGACTCAGTCACACATGGTGCAGCAGGTCTTTCAGCGCTTCCGCTTCACGTACTCCTCGCCACAGTCCACTCCTCTGCCTACCGGTCACTCGCTCTCAGCTCTGCCTTCGGATGAGTTCGTAGAGCCGAGTGGCCCATATCCAGAGCTTGTGGGCTGCCTCATGTACCTGATGACCTGCACTCGACCTGACCTTGCTTACCCTCTTAGCATCCTGGCACGCTACGTTGCGCCCGGGAGACATCGACCAGAGCACTGGGAGGCCGCCAAGAGGGTGTTGCGCTACTTGTACAGTACGTCGGGCATGGGGCTCGTGCTTGGAGGACGGGGTCGAGTTGTCCTCACTGGACACGCTGACGCTTCTTGGGTTGACGTCTTGGCTACGCAGCGGTCGTCACAGGGTTACACTTTCAGCCTTGGCTCCGGCTCTGTTTCTTGGCGGTCTACCCGCTCGTCTTCTGTTCTCAGTTCCAGTTGTGAGGTTGAGGTCTACGCAGGGGCCATGGCTGCACAGGAGTTACGCTGGCTTACCTACCTGCTAACCGACTTGGGAGAGCCGCCTCGTTCTCCTCCAGTTCTGTACGTCGACAACAAGGCCATGATTGCCTTGTGTCAGGAGCACAGGACGAAGCACATCGCTCTGCGTTACTTCCTTGCACGAGAGTTGCAGCAGCATGGTCAGCTTCGTCTTGCTTACGTGGCCTCTCGGGCCAACACTGCTGATATATTCACCAAGGCACTTCAGCCTTGTGATCATCAGCGTTTCGGTACTGTCTTAGGCCTTGTGCCTACTTGGTCTCCCTTGCTCACTTCTTGACTTTGCTTGTAATGTGATCTACATACTTATACCTGCATGCTTGCACTTGCTAGGTTGTGATCACTGTACTGCTTGCTCTCCATTATATAACTCTGCTTGTGAAGTGGCCTTGTGGCCATTTGCTTGTGCTCAGAGTGTGTGGTGACTTCGTGATCCACCCTGAGCTTGCTTTGCTTTTCTTGACTGGTCTTGTGACCCCTTGTTGTCCCCCACTTTGCCTATGGGGGTGTGTCAAACTATCATGTTGTGTAGGCTGTAGTGGGTAGCCCATATGGGGTACAACCCAATTAGGGTTTGCTACTTGTACTCCTACATGCTGTTAGTTCACCATTCTCGCTTACTGATTCTGACAGCTGCGGCAGGGCCTGTTGATGGGAATGTGGCCCCAACCTCGCGTGGACGAATCCGACTTCGTGGTCGGGTGTGCTGGAGGTGCATGTCAAGGATAGAACTGGAATGATGAATGAGTAGAAACAAGCAGTACAAGGGAGGATATAGCAAACCCTAAGGGGGGTTATACCCTCTACACCATAACTCAATGTAACACCTAGACTAAACTAACAAACTATAACAAGTATAGTTTGACACACCCCCATAGTCTAGGTGACGGTTGTCCTGGGGAAAGCAACACACAACCCAAGAGCAAGGGTCACAGGACCAGTCAGCAAGAACAAGCAACGGTCACAAGACCAGTTCACAAGAACAAAGCAACACTCGGGGTGGATCTCAAGATCACCACACATTCCGAGAACAAGCAAGAGGCCACAAGGCCAGTCCACATGCAAGGATATAGCAGATATAAGAGATGCAAGAGTACAAGACATGCATGACAAGCATCTCTACAGAAGCAAGGGGCCACAAGGTCTGTCCACAAGCACATATATAGGAGATATAGTAAGATGCAAGAGTACAAGATAAAGCATCTCTACGCAAGCAAGTGAGGGCCTGTAGACACAAGGCCAAGCTGGGTGCAGAAACGCTGGTGGTCACAAGGCGGCAACGCCTTGGTGAAGATATCTGCAGTGTTGGCCTCAGAGACCACACGTCGCACGAGTGCCTGACCACGCTGCTGCAACTCTTGTAGAAGGAAGTAACGAAGCTGGATGTGCTTCGCCTTCCCAACCAGTCGGGGCTCCTCGCACAACAGGATGGCAGACCTGTTGTCGGCGAACAAGACTGGGGGAGAGCGAGGCCGCTCACCAAGGTCGGTGAGGAGGAAAGACAGCCAGCGAAGCTCCTAGGCGGCCATGGCCGCAGCGTACACCTCTGCCTCACAGCTGGAACTAGAGACGGACGACGCCCGAGTCGACCTCCACGAAACAGCTCCGGTCCCAAGGCTGAAGCAGTAACCCTGTGTAGACCGCAGCGACTCTGCGTCGTCGGCCCACGATGAGTCCGAGAAACCTGTAAGTGTAATAGGCTGCTTCCCTCCAAGGACAAGTCCCATGCCTGATGTACTCGCCACATACTTCGCCACCCTCTTAGCAGCGTACCAGTGGGAAGGTCAGTGTCTCCCAGGCGCAACAAAGCGCGCAAGGACGCTAAGAGGGTAAGCTAGGTCAGGGTGAGTACAGGTCATCAGGTACATGAGACAACCCACCAGCTCAGGATATGGACCGCTGGACTCAAATGGCTCGTCTGAAGGTGGAGCCGTGAGCCCATGGTCCACAGCAAGAGGGGTGGGCTGTACCTTGGAGAACGGGAAGCGAAACCGCATGAGGATCTGCTCGACCATATGCGACTGCGTCAGGGTAATGGTGCGAGCTGCTCTGTCCCTGGTGATCTGCAGGCCAAGGTAGTGCTGCAGCTCACCAAGGTCAGTGCAAGTGTGTCTCCTCTGCAGTTCCTCCTTCACGGAGGCCAGTGCGTGTCGGTCGGGAGTGGCGAAAACCAGGTCGTCAACGTAGACCAAAACAAAGAAGGGGGTCGAGCCACGACGGACGAACAGCGACGGGTCGGCTGACGACGGAAAGAAGTCAAGCGCTGCAAGAGTCGTACGGAGCGTGTCGTGCCACTCGCGGGGAGCCTGGCGCAGGCCGTAGACCGGTCGACGCAGCTGCCACTGGGTCCCAGGAGGGAAAGTGCCAGTGAAGCCAGGCGGACGACGCAGCCAAATCTGCTCGTGCAGGCTCCCCTGAAGAAACGCGGTGGAGAAGTCCAAGGAGGGCAACTCATAGTCGCGCTGTGCTGCAATATGCAGCAACACCCGAAGAGTGGTCATCTTCGGGGTGGGAGCGAAGGTCTGGAAGAAGTCTACCCCCTCTCGCTGACTGAAGCCTCTCGCCACGTAGCGCGCCTTGAACACCGGTGGTGCTCCAGGCGGCCGCTTCACCTTGTAAAGCCACATGCCACTGACAACGTTCGCCCCAGGTGGCGGGACAGCGTCGACGTAGGTGCCTGTGGACCTATAAGATGCCATCTCTGCCTCCTCAGCTGCTATCCAGTACGAAGCCCAAGGTCTCGAGACTGCCTCAGCGTGAGTGCGAGGGATCGGGATGTCAACGGCGTCTGGATCCCCCTCAGGGGCAAGCAACATGGCGCAGAGATGAGGAACAGCGGCCGCAAGGAAACCAAGCTCGAACTGCCTGTCCTCCAGGACCTCCAAGGGAAAGACAGGAGCACCCCCAGAGGACGGAGAACGAGCAGGGCCACTCACGAGGTGAGTGGCGTAGTCAAGGCGGTGGGAAGAGGCAAAGCCAGCGACAGTGGTAACAAGTGCTGAGACAGACGACAGAGGTGCAGTCGGGTGAGTGACCAACGCGGACAAAACACGGGAGACGACAGGACGGGAGGCACGGAGGTAGTCGGACAACGGGTCGTGAAGCACAGTGAGGGACGACTCAGGGGGCTGTGGAAGGACAGGAGGAGGTGGAACACGAGAGCGAAGAACAAGGTGGAACGGACCGTCTGCACGGTAACGAGACCGACGACGCTCTGGGGACACAGCACGACTGAGGGGAGAACGACGAGTCCACTGAGACGAGGAAAGGGACTCAACAGGGGGAACAGGAGGGGACGGTAGGGGACCACGAACAAAGCATGCAGGTGCTGGGTCGGGGAGGTCGCGGAGTCGCAGTCGCTGCTGCTCCGCCTCCTCTGGCGACTGCTGCTGCGGTACCTGCCCCCGCTGCTGCTCCTCTGGTTCCTCCTCTACTCTCCTCTGACTCTCCAACTGAGACTGCTGCTGCTGCTGCTGCTGCTGCTGTCGTGACTCCTCCTCTACTCTCTCCTGACGCTCCGACTGAGACTGCTGCTACTGCTGCTGCCGTGACTCCTCCTCTACTCTCTCCTGGTGCTGCCGTGGCTCCTCCTCTACTCTCTCGTGACGCTCTGACTGGGACTGCTGCTGCTGCTGCTGCTGCTGCTGCTGTCGTGACTCCTCCTCTACTCTCCCCTGACACTCCGACTGAGACTGCTGCTGCTGCTGCTGCTGCTGCTGCTGTGACTCCTCCTCTACTCTCTCCTGGTGCGGCTGCGACTCCTCCTCTGCTCTCTCCTGACGCTCTGACTGGGACTGCTGCTGCTGCTGCTGCTGCTGCTGCTGTGCCCTCTCAAACCGCTCCCGCTCCTCCCTCTCCAAACAAACAAGACGCTGCTCACGTGTCAGGAAACGGACAGTGCGCGGTGTAGGCGCCGAGGTGGCAGCGCCTCCAGCTCCAGCACCCCCAGAACCAGAACCTCCACCGACAACACCCCCAGGGCCTCCAGTACCTCCAGCAGGAACACCCCCAGACTCCGCAGCGACCGGCCGCTGAGGCGAACGGGGAGGGAACTGCGGGACTGACGGAAAGCCTGGGGGTGAGGCAGGGCGAGGCTGCCGACTCGAGGCAGCAGTGTCCTCCACTGGAGGGGGCTCCACACCCACACCCCCTGCACCCCCAAAGCCAGAGCCACCAGCTCCTACAGCCCCAGTACCCTCACCCCCCGCAGCTGCACCTCCCGCACCCCCAGACACGACAGAGACTGGACGCTGCGGGGGAGACGGCTGGGGAGTGACGTGCGACACACCTGACAGGGCAGGACGCGAAGGGGGGGGGGCTACCGGGGCGACTGGGGGGGG